TTGATTTCACATTCCAGGATGTCTGGCTCTAGGTGAGTGATCACACCATCATGATTATCTGGGTCATGAAGACCTTTTTTGTATAGTTCTTCTGTGTATTCTTGCCACCTCTTCTTAATATCTTCTGCTTCTGTTAGGTCCGTACCATTTCTGTCCTTTACTGAGCCCATTTTTGCATGAAATATTCCCTTGTTATCTCTAACTTTCTTGAAGAGATCTCTAGTCTTTCCCATTCTATTGTTTACCTCTATTTCTTTGCATTGATCACTGAGGAAGGCTTTCTTATCTCTCCTTGCTCTTCTGCGGAACTCTGCATCAAATGGGTATCGCTTTCCTTTTCTCCTTTGCCTTTCACTTCTCTTCCTTTCACAGCTATTTGTAACGCCTCCTCAGACCACCATTTTGCCTTTTTGAATTTCTTTTTCTTGGGGATGGTCTTGATCACTTCCTCCTGTATAACGTCATGAACCTCTGTGACAATAGAACTCTAATAGATTTGTAATAGACATAGAACTCTATCAGATCTAATCCCTTGAATCTATTTATCACTTCCACTGTATAATCGTAAGGGATTTGATTTAGGTCATACCTGAATGGTCTAGTGGTTTTCCCTACTTTCTTCAATTTAAGTCTGAGCATGGGAGTGAAGTTTAATTCCCAGAAATATGGTGAGATAAAATAATACATACTATGTGATAAGTAACATGTAATAATAATATTAATACACATTTATGTGAAAGTGAATAATAATATGAAACTGCCAAATTGATTTGGCTAGCAATTCTAGGCAAAGTGAAAGTCGCTTGGTCATGTCCCACTCTTTGTGACCCCATGGCCTGCCAGGCTCCTCTGTCCATGGAGATTCTCCAGGCAAGAATCCTGAGTGGGTTGCCATGCCCTCCTCTGGAGGATCTTCCCAACCCAGGGATCGAACCCAGGTCTCCCACTTTGCAGGCAGATTCTTTACCCTCTGATTCACCAGGGAAGCCCAAGAATACTGGAGTGGGTAGCCTATCCCTTCTCCAGGGGATCTGAGTGACCCAGGAATCAAACCGGGGTCTCCTGCATTGCAGGTGGATTCTTAACCTACTGAGCAACATGACTGTATGTAGTCTTTGAAAGATTTTAAAACATCATTCTTTGCCTTCCCTTACTAAAGCTGTTGCTCACTGCTATCTCATGTCTTGGCTGAGCTAAGGAGATTAACAGGAACTGTGTTGGAGCCGTGATCTAATTGGTGTGCTGGGGTCTTCAAGCACCCAGGATGGGTGTTCCCATCAGCTGGGCCCCAGGGTAACAGACAGGCAAAGATTGATGAGGTGAACCTGTTGGGGCAATTTCTCTGTGTCTGGGGGTGGAAGGTAATGTGGACCTTCCTTGCTCCCTTCCCCAGGTGCCTTTCTGCATTGCAGAGTCAGGGAGACCCCAAGCTCCATTTCCCAGAACCCCTTGTACCCATAGTTCTGGTCCCCAGTTAAGATGACTTAGCTAGAAACAGGTGTGTGAGACTGGCAACAGGGAATTGAGGCAGAGCACCCCTCCTTTGCGCTGTGCCCGTGGGCAAGCCAGGGCAAGGAGACTTGGGGTTTCTTGGCAACAGTGTCCCGGGCCCCTCTCCTGCCTTTGGAGGGTTGAGTGGCAGCTGCAGCGGTGGCGGCTTCCCACTGCCTGGCTGTGGCTTTGGTGGTGTGTCCTTGAACTCAAGAGTTCCTCCTGCTTCTCCAGGAGGATTGTGTAAGCACCTAAGTCCCTGAATTAAGCCCCTTGGCATCTGCTTGGAATACCCCGGAGAGATTCTTCCATTAGAAGAGTTTTCTGAACCTTGACTGGGCGCACGGCCTGAGGACTTAGCTACTGTGAGGTTGACCCCTGCTGGACGGCAGTGATGGCAGAAGCCTCAGTCGGGACAGTTTCATTTTGGGAAATGACACCAAAAAGCAATAATGGAGGAGCAATGATTTGGAAGGAACCTAAGTCCTTGAGTGACCATGAGGAGCAGAGATGCCCTGCTTACCTCCACCTTTCACAGTTAGAGGCAAGAGAAGTAAACTTTCTTGTTTATTTGGCTGTTACATTATTGCATGACGGAAAGGTGTCAGCCTCTCAGCTCAAACTAGTTTGTGATTTCTCTCCTTCAGAACAGATGGCTCAGTTGAGGAATCAAACAGCCAATGGGCAGAAAATTATAGTTGGTGTTGATGGAGGGAAGAAGGTCTGAAGGAATAAAGTCTGTGTTTCTTACACTGGGTTCCTGGTCATACCAGCTTGCCTGCCTAAGGGTTTGACAATAAAATAGAATAATGTCAATAATATCCTTTCTGATGCTAAGAAAAGATAAGTAAATAGGTAAACCAACTCCATTTTAAGCTTCATTCCCACACACTTGGCTTTTGCTGCCTTCTCTCTGTCTCCCAGCAGACAATACCAAATGAACCTAGAACACACAAAATTGTTTTCCTTCTTCAAAAAATATATTTAAAAAATTACAAAAGTAATTTCATGCTAGTATGGAAACACAAGCAATATAGAAGACCGGATGCACAGATCAAACTCTTGGTTCCCAGGCCCACTGCTCAGGGGAACTGCAGTTGAGCATTTGGTGTATCCTCTTCTTTCCCTCCTTGCCCTGCCCTTGAAGGCAGTTGCCATGGAGATGGGGGTGAGGAGGTGGTTGATGTGACTAGGAAATTAGTTATATGTGGGAATTGAGCAAATAAGTAACCAGAGTCAAGTTTCTCACTGTTGGAGAAGGGAATTACAAATAAGGAAAGGGGAAAACTAGAGAGAAACCTGTTGGATTGGAATTAGAGGTATCAGTGTGAACTACTACTTTTAAAAGCTGTCTATCCATCTGCATACAGAGATAGACACAGCTGTATGTTTGTGTATGCTTGTGTTTGCTTGTGTGCATGCTTACATCTATACCTTGTCTCCAAAAAGAGCCTAGAAGAAATGACATCCCCAAAGGAATGAATATCCAAACTTGATTTCTAAACCCCATTTTCCACTAAAAGGAGAATTAACCAATTTCTGGGCAGGGCATGGAAATTTTTTTTTTCAATTATAAGATGTAGTTATTCTTCACAGTGGGAGGAAAAACACAGATTGGGAATCAGGGAAATGGGATCTGATATGATTCTGCCACCTAGTAGCAGTGTGGCCCTGGGGAAGCCTCCAACCCTCTTTATATCTATCAAATGAGGACGTTGGCTGAGGTCCATAAGTTTCCAACTGTGCTCTGGGAAATCCCAGGGACTCCCCAGAAGTCCTAGAGCAGGGGGGTGGGATGTGGGGAGACAGGATGCCTGATCAGGGGCCCTCTGGTTCATACTCTACTGTAGATCTTGGGCTTCTGTTGAAGGTTTCATTTGAATAAAAGGTTACTGAGAACACCTGCCCCCGTCCCAGTTCCAGTCTCTGGTTCCGTGAGCCAGGCAGGGTGACCAGTGAGCCCTGGGGTAGCCAGCATTAACTCCAAGCCTGTGGAACAGATCCCTTGGCGATGGTTTTGGCCACTCGATACAAAACTCTTCACTTCTCAGTTTCACAGTAGGGCATGGAAAATTTGAGATGAGCCTGGAATGTGTTGTTTTTTTGGCACAAGTAAGTAAGTGCTGAAAGAATGGTGGAGTCATGCTAAAAGGACAGAGGAGCCAGCTTGAAGGGTCTCCCACAGGCCAAATCTGGGACAATATGAACATCAAAATAAATAATAATATGAATTACATCTTACTGAATAAAATAGAAATTCATGAGCTCCTGCTGACATAACAAAATGAATCAGAAACTGGGGAGAAGGGAGAGCTCTTCTCCACAAGAGGCTGGTAATCATTTGGCAATTATCAGTGTGGTGGTCAATTCAGGCAGGAGTCAGTATTGAATGCTAAGGGTATCTCCTCACAAAATATTTATCAACTAAAAGGAAAAAAATGTCAATTAATGTGAAGAAGCCTGGCAGACACCAACTTGGCTGGGTGACCGAAGTCCTGACACTGGTCACACCCAGAGGTCAACACCCCATGCCTCCTGATATGAAGCACTGAGGAAAGCCCAGCATCTTCTCTGTGGAATCCCTGCCATAAGGTCAGGACCTGGGCCTGGACATGAGGAAGCATTGGACTGACCCCAGTTGAGGGACATCCTACAGACTGAAAGTCTTCTACTCTCTGAAACTGTCAAAGCCATGAAGACAGGACAAGACAAAGAAAACGCTTTAGAAAAAGAATAATGAAAATGATACAATTCATAGAGAGAAGGGGAGTGATGGAGCAAATGTGAAAATAGTTAACAAGTGGAGATCTAGGTGAAGGGGATACAGAACCTTTGTGTTACTGCTCTTGTAACTCATATGTTTCAAAATGAATTTTTAAAAAAGTTGTCTGTGCATCCATCAATTTTTTTCCCTGGTAAACGTATATGTGTTCATGTTTATTTGCCTACACATGTAGACATATATGGCTTTCCAGATGGTGCTGGTGGTATAAAGAGCCCGTCTGCCAGTGCAGGAGACTTAAAGAGACGTGAATTCGATCTCTGGGTTGGGAAGATTCCCTGGAGGAGGGCATGACAACCCACTCCAGTATTCTTGCCTGGAGAATCCCAAGGACAGAGGAGCCTGGCGGACTACAGGCCATAGTGTCGCACAGAGTCAGACACGACTGAAGCGACTTAGCATGCACGCATACATGTATCCAGTAGCTCAGGCCCCGACTCAGATTGGTTAAATCAGAATGTGAGGGACTGATACCCCAGCAGGTGCATTTTAAAAAACTTCCCAGGTGACTCCGATATGCAGCCGATTTGCGAGCCAGCGCTGCAATCCAGGCTTCAGGGGAATCACGTGTGGAGTTTGTTAAATTGAGGGTCCCGGCGCCGCTTCCCCGGATCAGGCAGGTACGCAGGTGCGCAGGGCGATGCTGGCAGGTGCCCGGGGCCCCGCCCCCGAGGGGCCCAGGCGCCCCCGGGGAAGGCCCAGCTGCCCGCCGCCCCCGCGCTCAGCCATGGACGCCGCGCCCGAGCTCCTGAGGGTCCCGCCGGCCGAGCTGCTGGACGACGTGCTGCGGGAGCAGTTCGGGCCGCTGCCCCAGCAGGCCACCATCTGCCGGCTCAAGCGGCTGCCGTCGTCCACCCAGGACGTGCAGTTGGTGCTGGAGCGGCGGCGCGTGGCCAACGCCAAAGAGCGCGAGCGGGTGAGCTCAGGCCGGCCCCGCCCGCTCCCCGCGCCGGAACCCGGCCGCCTTCCTCCAGGCTTCCCCCAGACCCGCTACCCACTTCAGACATCTAGGGGGCCCGGGGAGCCCACCCCCCACCTTGGGGGCCCGGAGCGGCTTGGACCTCCCGCGGGCCACCCGGTTCCCCTCCACCCGCGCGGGGCTGGCGCCTCACCTGGGACCCACCTGGAGCCGAGCAGGAAGCAGGTCTGGGGAGGCCGAGGGGAAGCCCGACCGCTTCAGAAACGCCTCCCGCTGGCAGATGCTTTAAACCCTCGGAGGCGGCAGGGCGTACATCTCCCTACCCCCTGCGCTGAGTGGGTGCTCGGGGCCCCCTTTACCCTGCGCCGAAGCCCAAATGGGGCGTGGGACAGGGGACCTAATGGAAGTTACTCTTTGCTTACTTTCAACGAAGAATTTAAACAACGTCTCGGTGTGCACCCAGACTCCCACTCAACTCCCAGGCCGGCGACTTGAAAGTGGCTGTTTCCCACAGTCTGGCGGGTACGCGGTAAATCACCCACCCGGCTGGTCCCGCGGGCGGAGTCGGAGCGCCATCTACCGGCATTTTCCCCTCAGTATTTCTAACTAAACTCCGACCCCAAACTTGTCAAATTCGGTCTCCTTTCAGTCCTTTGAGGTCTTTGGGTTGCCTGGCTGCAGAGAGGATCTGAGAGAGAGAAGGATCTGAGCGATGGAAGAGGGAGGGCCCGCATTCTGACCTGGGACTCGAGGAGGATGCTCTTCGATGCCCTGCTGGGGGTGTTCATGTACACTCCTGGACCCTTTAGTAACGTAGCTCCAGTCAATCAACTCGGAGCTCTGTTTGGGCTCAGGTTGAGGAGAAAGAACCTAGTGAGTGTAGGAGACTTCAGGGAACGTTGGGAGCCCTTTATGATAACCCTGTGATCTGATGTGTTGGTGTGGTTCTCGAATAAGGTTCTGTTCCTGTATTTGGCATTTTAAGTTGTGCTTTCCCCACCAGGAAGGAATTGTTTTCTGCAGAGAATCGGTCCTTGTATTATCTACTATTTTAAAACTAATGACCTCATTCTTTATAATGATGAAATTAGTACACCTGGAAGATAGAGAAATGACTAAACAGGGAATGGAAACACCCACAATGCAACTATAACGACCATGAACTGTCATTCTTGTTATATCTTCCTGGTCTTTTTCCTACTTATATTTGTGCGTATATATGTGTGTGCTAAGTTGCTTCAGTCGTGTCCAACTCTTTGTGACCCCATGTACTGAAGCCTGTCAGGCTCCTCTGTCCATGGGATTCTCCAGGCAAGAATACTGGAGTGGGTTGCATGTCCTTTTTGAGGGGATCTTCCTGACCCATGTATCAAACCTGGGTCTCTTACATCTCCTGCATTGGGAGGCAGGTTCTTTACTACTATTGCCACCTGGAAGCGTATATATGTATAAAAATAATTTTATAAAATTGTGATCACTTAGTATATATTTTTGTACTTTCTTTTCACTTAACATTATCAAAAGCATTTCCTCATATTCCTAAGCAGAACAGCTTTTGACTTTATGGTCCAACATATAAATTGACTGCTTATCTAGCTTCCTAGTCTTGGGCATATATGCTTTTTTTTGCAGCTTTTTACTGGTACAAAGATCTATGTCCATGTCTGATAATTGCTTTCCAACAAAACATTAGAAGTGGAATTACTGGGATATAAGCAGTCTCGTGACTTTTGATACAGGTTGCCCAGTTGCTTTCTAGAAAAGTTTATTAATTGTATCCACTTTTACAGGCTATAGGATGGTTCCCTTCTTCTATCCCAATGCCTGGTATGATAATCAAAACAAAAATGTTACCAACTTGGTACACAAAAAATGGTATCTAATTTCTGCTTTATTTTTTGTATTTTTAAGTGGAAGATAATTGCTTTATAATGTTGTGTTGGTTTCTGCTGTAAATCAATATGAATCAGCTATAAGTATACATATATCCCCTCCCTTTTGAGCCTTCCACCCACCTATAATTTCTATTTTAGTCTGTAGTTCTTTGATTATTAAAGTTTGATATTTCTTAAGTTTATTGGTTATCATATTCTGCTGTGAATGGCCTGTGTTCATTGCCCAGTTTGATGTGGGGTAGGAGGGAGCTCTCAATATAAGTGAGTGGTTTCATGGTGTAGAGCCAGTTTTCTTTGAGGGCCTGTGTCCTCTGGGGAGTGATAATCAGGATTCCAGGCCTCCAGAGCCAAGAAATTAGACACTGAAGATTAAGAAAAAAGGGTACTTCATTCTGCCTTTCAAGTCTCACCAATATGCAGACTCTCTGGACTCTAATACTTGACTATATCGTCAGCTCAGATTGGAGTGAAGTTGAAGAATGGTTGGCATAGTACTTGAATAGACAAGTGTTTGTACATTTTATTCATTATTGTCAGGGCAACTTATTGAGGACCATCTATGCGCTGGGGGAAATGTTTGATGTGTAATTATGTTCCTTAATCAGCAGCTACACCACTACAAGGTGAGGATTTTCCACTTGGCAAATAAACCAAGGCTCAGTAATATGAAGTGTCCTACAGACTTTTGCAAAGCTAAATGGTAGAGCTGGATTTTAATCCTTAAGTGCTGACTCAGAGCTTTTAGCCACTACCCAGACTGCCTCTACTTTGCAGTGGGGCTGCTCTCGGAGGAAGAGGCCCACGTGGACCTCAACACCCTTTCCAGCCCACCCATGCCTGGTGCCAGGTTCGTGCCGCTCCCGCTCCCCTTGCCAGGGACTGCACTGCCAGTGGAGCGGCAGTGGTTGGGCACGAGCCTGCTAGGCTTCATGGCTCAGACGGGAGCTGCGGAAATGAACCCTCACCACCGCCTTCGGTAGTCTGGGGAGATGCCTTACAGATTAGCTTCCCGTGCATCACTGTGCCTTCTTCCTTTCCAGATAAAAAATCTCAACCATGGTCTGGCCAAACTGAAGGCATTGGTGCCGTTTCTTCCCCAAAACAGGAAGCCTAGCAAAGTTGATATCCTCAGAGGTGCAACCGAATACATACAAGTTCTCACTGATGTTTTGGAAGAAGCCAAAGACTCTGAGGTAAAGGTTTTAAGAAGTTAGAACAATGACACTCACCGTTTTATTGAGCTCTTTTTAGGTGCAGGCCAACTTCTGCGTCTGTGCTAGTTGGTTTATACAATCCTCTGACATAGTACGGATGCTGCTTTTACAGAGGAAGAAACCAAAATACAGGTAAAGGTCCCACAGCTAAGGAATGTCAGGACTGGAGTCTGAACCTAGGTCTGTGTGAGCTTTGGAGTCAAGTTCTGACCATCTGTATCCTTACCTCACTGTCCAGAGCCTCTAGCTCTGACTTGCTTAGCTTTTGATGGGACTTTGATAGTAGGGACATGAAAGGAGGGTCCCTAAAGCCATGCTATTCTTCAGGAGAACACACATCAGAGAGGAAGCGCAGAAAGGAAGAGGGGTGTCCCTTGGGAGAGGCCCTCCCTGGGGGTCAACCCTGCTGGAAAGTTCATTGATCTCCTTTGATGCCAGTCTCATGGGATTTTGTGACCATTCAGTGGGACTACATAGGTGAACCTGTTTTGTAAACTGAAGCACTGTAATGTCACCACTAATATTGGGACACATAGCTCAGGGGTCTCCATCAGTGGAAGGTGCGAACTGGATTCATGAGCTCATTCCATGGAAAGGCAAATTTGGAATGCTTGAAAATGTATTCGTTATCAGAGGAGGTAAGATATGAAGAGAGAAAAGGCCTTAGAAATGAGCCCTAAGGAACAGGAGAAGGACGGGCTATCAGAGAGGGGCAGATGGAGAAGCAAGATGGGGCCCTACAATCAGGGAGGGGGAATCTTGGGGATCCAAGTGTGGGAAGTTGTGCATGGAGCTGTAGGTGGGGCCAGGAAGACAACCAGGTGTAGCACATGAAGGACAGGAGTGGGCTGGAGGCCAGCCTTTGGTGGGTGATGGAATGTTATTGGTAAATATCTGAAATCCAAACAGAGGGAAGTGGCAAGTTTCAAGTCCATTCAATCTGAAAGTCTGAGACTGGAAAGAGGCTCAAAAGGATGGAAGAACAATGACAATTGTTAGATCAATGAAGGTCTTTTCTAAGTAGCAATGTGATCCTGTTTAGGGACTGAAGAGGACAGATAGCAGAGAGAGGAGAAATATACTCAGGAACAGAAACAGACAAATGCTTAGTGGTACATTTTGGTTTCTTACTCTTGTCTTCTAGTCCTATTTACGTGACAACTGGGAGGATACATTCTTCATTGGTAGGAGGGATGGATTGTCCTGATGGACAAACTGGATGGCTGGGTTGTAGAGTGGTTGCAATATTTGCACAGATGCAGATGGCTACATTAGTTTTTCCTTGCACGTGAATCGCCTAACAGAAGTGCTTTGTTTGGTGTTACATAAAATACAGAATCTGTTCCATGCTGTAATCTTTTTAATGTAGTTTCCAATCACACAACGTTTTAAGGTTATAGCAGAACAGAAACCAGTCTCCTGAGCAATGATTTTTCTTTCCATAATAACTTCAACATTGCTCTCATCACTTAAATAAAATTTCATAGGTTAAGACTTTGAAATATATTGGCTTAAATAGTCAAAATCTGTCCTATTATACTGTATGACAACTAAATATGGTTTCTAGAAACGAGACCCAGATCATCAGAGCTATAGCAGCAGTACTTCTGAGCCACATACTTCCTCAGCTAGACAGCTATCGAGAGACATTATGCAACATTCCGGCTGTGCTGTGGGCTTGAAGAATGAGAAGGAAGGGTCCTGGGCAGATGGTGGCAGTGGTGAGTTGGCACATACTTATCGCCAGAGGGCAGTGTCTATGATGGGAATTCTCTCCCCAACCAGCAGTCTGCTAAAGTGTTTGTTCTTGAATAGTTATGTTGATATCCAAAAACTCACAAGACATCCCTTGGGCATGAGATATTTTCCATGTTAAAACATGACTGAAACAAGATCACTGTGTGAAAGCACCTAGGTGGGCAGGTGAGTTTGCTAGTTTGAAAGATCTATTATTATGTTCCCAAGTTCAATGGAAAGCAATTCAAGGGGAAGGCAGCTCCTCCAGAATCACCCTGTAAAGACCTAAGCTTAATTTTTTATGACTCTGATTAATATGTCAAAAGGTTTTCAGGATTCTGAGGTCTCCAGAAAAAGAAATAAGTATCTTGCCCTTCATAAAGCTGCATGGTGATCCCATGTACACACATGCATACTCAGAGGCACATTTGTTTTTAAGTTGACCTTGTTGCAAGACAGTTTTCTATAATAACAACGGAGTTTATTGAAACATTATTGCTTATTACTTTGCCAAACTAAGGAAACTGTTGGAAGGAGCAGCCTGCTTTTCTCCAAGTCTAGGAAGTGGAGGTTTTGTTCTTGTGTCTCAGTGTTACACAGATGAGATCCCTTGTTCCATTATTGCTACTGAAACTAGAAAGGCTTGCAGAAATCTGGAACTAAGCAAGTTGCTTAGTGTGGTATAAGGAACAGTGGGGGCTATGGAGTAACAAATGATGCTTGGTCGTGGGAGCTGGTTTAGGAGAGCAGTTGAGTGGCGGCTCTGGAGACAGAATGCTGAGGTTCAAACCCTGGTTTTAGCACTTGTTGGTGTGACCTTGAGTGAGTTGCTAAAGTTTTCCAACCCTCAATTTCCCCATCTGTAGAATGGGAATGATAATTGTACCTATGTAAGGTATCCACTCCAGTGTTCTTGCCTGGAGAATCCAGGGACGGGGGGGCCTGGTGGGCTGCCGTCTAAGGGATCGCACAGAGTCGGACATGACTGAAGCGACTTAGCAGCAGCAGCAAGGTACCTGTGAGGTTCAAATGACATCATGTCAGTGGAGTGTCTAGCATAGTACCTGGCATGTCAGCGTTCACTTGGACTTCATGAAGTTGGCTCGCCTCACCGTGAGCCATCAGTATTGACGGGTGAGCAGTCAGCAGTGGGCCCCAGGCATCACCACTCTGTAACAAGTGGTCTGGGTTTCCTCACGTGGCTCTCACCAGTGCGTCACTCTGGTCTGAGGTCTGGCAGACTTTCTGCTCATTGGCTGGCCTCATTTCTGATCCGATTACTGTTTTCTAAGGATTCTACTTGTGCACATGCTCAGTCTAGATTTTCCAGTTCTGGCCACTTGAGATTTAAAACTTCCCCTCTCCCATCAACTTTTAGGAAGACAGAATTCCTCTTGCTACTCTATGAGCTGATAGGGAATGACTAAGAACAAAGGAAAGAGTGAACAGAAGCTTGAACCTGACTGCCTAAGTGAATAACAGTAACGTGTCCACAAATGTGGTTTGCGTGTGTTAGGTATTAAGGCAAGAATCTTGCTTGCATTTAATCTTCACTGGTCCTTATCAGGTAGGCATCACCGAGTCATTCTCATGGTGAGATACCTGACTGGCTGGTCCTTCCTGCTAGTCCCCTTGGGCCTGGTACAGAGCAGGCCTATGTGCCCTGCATTGCAAGATAGATTCTTAACTCTGGCCCACCAGGGAAATCCCATCACCGTCATCCTTTGATCACTTCGTTTCTGGCAAAAGATGGTCCAAGCTCAGGCATCTTGTACTTTTCCAGCCCCAGCCTTGGAATCAACCTTTTATCAAGGACGTCCAGTGGGTTAGCTCGCCTCCCACCTCCTGCCATCTCTCTGTCATCTCCTCCATCTGTGGCTCCTCTCCTTGGGTTTTAGCACCTGAAGTTGGTTTGCTAGAGCTGCAAAGCACACAGACCAAGTGGCTTAAACAGCACATATTTGTTTCTTACAGTTCTGGAGGCTGGAAGTCTTACAGTTGAGGTGTTGGTGAGCTTGCTTTCTTCCGGCCTCTCTCCTTGGCTGGAGATGGCCTTGCCTCAGTGCGGGCTTACCCCTGGTGTCTATGTGTCCAAATTTCCTCCTCTTATAAGGACACCAGTCAGATTGGATTAGGGCCCACCCTAATGGCCTCCTTTTAGCTTAATCACCTCTTTAAAGGTCCTAAGTCCAAATACAGTCCCAGGTACTGGGGGCTGGAACTTCCACATGCGTTTTGGGGGCCACGGTTCAGCCCATAACAGCACCCGTGACAGGCTGCCCCTCCACAGGAAACCTCTCCAGGAGGGATAGAGATAAAGGGGCCGAGGAACAAAGCTCAGGTTGGCCTTGATTTCCCAAAGAATCCTCGTCAGGGAGTATTCTGGTTTACCTGAAAGGGCAACTGTTAATACATAGGTTTCAGGGTCCAGTCAGATACCCTAACTGGAGACATGGGGACAGCCAGTGTGGCTCACTGGACTGAAATGTCCATGTCTAGAGGGGCTTAGGAACTGGGAGGCAGGTCTCCAACTCCAGTCTGCAGAAGCAGCACCCATTTTTCCACTCTTGGAGAGGATCTCTGAGGAGTGGAATCTGGTGCTGGCAGAGATCAGCACTTGGGGCGACTTGGGGGCTGGGGTTGGAAGAAGCTGTGCAAGATGAACAACATTCTTGAGGCCAGAGCCCTAGTGAGGCGCACAATCTGCTGATGGCAGGTAGGGAGGAGGTGAGTTGCTCAGGCCAGAGCAGGTTCACTTGGGACTGAATCAGCAAGTGCTTGTGTGTGTGGACAGAGCGGACATGGCCATGTGAAGCCACAGCATCTGGCCTTGGGAGGGAGAGGGATTAATGTCAAGGTCCAGGGGAGGATTGTTTAAACTGGGCTTTCAAGGTATAGGATTTTACTGTTTGGGGATTAGACTGGGTGGCATGGTGTTCACTAATGACGTTTATCTCTTCTATTTGTCGCTGTGGCTTAGGCATTTCACATCAGGCAAAACTCTGAATGTTGCTCAGCGTTTCCTGTAATCCTGTAGAGACTGTGTCCCTGGACAAAGTCCACCCTCAGTGCTGAAGTGAGACACCAGTTGTGCTGGGGTCTGAGGGGCTCTGGAAAGGGATACATGTGTGAACATAAGTGCCTGTTGTGGGATCTGGATGTGTCGCCATCCTACACATCTCAATTTTGGTCTGTCATAGGAGCAGTCCTTGGAAAGAGTTTCTGAAAGAAAGAAGCCTGGTGGGTGGTAGATTTCCTCGAACCGGCCTCCGCCCCCGACACCGCAGGTTGTGGTAATCTGTGTGTGAAATTAACCCCTGGGGACATTTCTTCTAATAGCAATTTAAGCTCTGCAATCAGATGGTCTGGCTAGTTGGGATGAATTTATTAGCATCCTGGGAAGGCCTTGAAGTGTCTATTGTTCTATCTTCCATCTCATGTTTTCCCCAGGTAGTGGTGACGTGTGATAGCAAAGATTCCATACAGCACCACAGCAGTGGGGATAATGGGCAGGAGGCTCTGAGATCTTCCCCAGTATTCACTGGTGTCCTAGTGCGCATATGCAGATGAGATTAGTCAGCAGAATATTTTAAAAGATCGAACCTCCCTTTTGATGGGGTGGGTGCTCCTTGGTTTGTCAGTCCCCACCCCCTCTTCCTGCATCTCCATGTAGGCATTTAAGTTTTGCAGACAGGGGCACTGAGCTCAGAAGGAAAGCTGCCCAAGTGGTTGCATTTGGCTCTGGGATGCTATTGTTTTCTAAACTTCGGAGGTTTAGGGGTTGGTAGTAGTAAAGAACCTGCTTGCCAATGCAGGAGATAGAAGAGATGTGGGTTTGATCCCTGGGATGGGAAGATACCCTGGAGGAAGGCATGGCAACCCACTCCAGTATTCTTGCCTGGAGAATCCCTTGTACAGAGGCGCCTGGTGTGCTATGGTCCATAGGGCTGCAAAGAGTTAGATAGGACTGAAGTGACTTAGCACACACACATGTTCTAATGATATGAATGCTAGTCATTTTCTCCAGAACTTTGGTAAGGTGAGATGTAGCATGTAGGACAGCATCCATCTAACTTTGGAGTCATGCCACCTCTGATGGAGTGGTCCCCGGGCTTCAGCTACTGAGGAAGAGATCCAACCAGAACCTGGGAAGACTGTCTTATTTTTAAACTAATTTTTGTTGGAGTATAGTTGCTTTACAACTTTGTGTTAGATGTTACTGTGTAGAATCAGCCATAACGTATCCATACATCCCCTTCTGGACTTCCTTCCCATTCAGGTTACCATGGTGCATTAAGTTGAGTTCCCTGTGCTATACAGTGTCTTATTCCCAAGGAAGACTCTTTAAAAATTTTAAAAAAAAAATTTTAATTGGAGGATAACTACTTTATAACACTGTGGTGTTTTTTGCCATACATATTGACATGAATCAGCCACAGGTGCACATGTGTCCCCTGTCCTGAATCCCCCTCCCTCATCTCTCCCCACCCCATCCCTCTGGGTTGTCCCAGAGCACCAGCTTTAAGTGCCCTGCTTCATGCATTGAACTTGCACTGGTCATCTATTTCACATATGGTAATATACATGTTTCAATGATATTCTCTCAAATCATCCCACCCTTTCCTTCTCCCACAGAGTCCAAAAGTCTGTTCTTTACATCTGTGTCTCTTTTGCTGCCTTGCATATAGGATCATTGTTACCGTCTTTCTAAATTCCATATATATGCATTAATATGCTTAATTTTTTTGTTTTTCTTTCTGACTTACTTCACTCTGTATAATAGGCTTCAGTTTCATCCACCTCATTAGAACCGACGCAAATGCATTCTTTTTTATAGCTGAGTAATAGTCTACTGTATGTATATACCACAACTTCCTTATCCATTCATCTGCTGATGGACTTGTGGGTTGATTCCATATCCTAGCTATTATTATAAACAGTGCTGCAATGAACATTGGGGTATACGTGTCTTTTTCAATTCTGGTTTCCATGGAAGACTTTTAAGGCCCAATCTGATCAGGTAAGAAGAAAATATTACAGGGATGACATAGTCTCATTTCTTTATGAAAATAAGAGAGGGAGATGTCTTTTGTTGGAAATTGGATTTTTCCGTGGGGACAAAAGATTGAATCAGTCATGGCAGCGGGTTTTGTCTGTGTGTGTGCAGGTGAGCATGTGGACGTGAAGCCTGGTGTGTTTGAGGGGATCTCTAGCTGCTATGTGCCTCTGAGTCTGTCAGTGAGCTTAGCATCTTCTGAGAAAGCCAGTAATTTCTGTTTCTCTGACATATCGTGGGCATGGTGTTTAAATTAAGGTAATTTCTTATCTATTCTTATGAACTTCGTGAGGGATTATTTATATGAGTTTTTTCTAATTTTTTTTGGCTGCGCTGGGTCTTAGTTGTGGTACGTGGGATCTTTTGTTAACTGTGGCATGTGAACTTCTTAGTTGCAGCTGATGGGATCTAGTTCCCTGACCAGGGATCGAACCCAGCCCCCAGCATTGGGAGTGTGGATTCTTAGCCACTGGACTGCCAGGGAAATCTCATTTACATGAGTTTTATGAAAGGTCCATCTCATTGGTCCCACATGAATGTGGGAGACAATGACAAGAATTGGACGGAAGGGTCTCTCAAAGACCCTTTGCTGAGAGGGTCCTGAGAGGCAGAGCTTCTCTGACCTGCTGTGGGACCTCCCTGGGTCAGCTCTGGGTCAGCAGAAAGCCACCAAATGCTCAGCCCCCGACCACATGAGCCAACCCCTGAGGGAGTCGGTGATCCTTCCACCCGCCACCTTGTCCCTGTTCTAACCCTGGGCTCTGCAGAGCTCATCAGGGATAAAACGGACTCCAGAGACACGGTGTTCATGGCAGATCTGCTGGCGGGAGGGAAGAGGGGTTAGAAATACAACACAAATGTTTTTCGGGACTCTTCAGTCCTCTTTGGCTCATTCTCTTCCTTTTTGGAAGAGTTTTCCCTCCAGGAATTGTCCTTGCGGCAGCTCTTGCCTAGAAGACAGGCCTGGATGCCTGCCTCCCCGGGGTGCTCTGAGGTGAGAAGAAGCATGGGGCAGAGTCCCCCAAGCATCATGCTGTTCGGGCCAGGTCCCCAAGGGAGGAGACATGGGGCTTAGTGGCCAAAGTCCTGCTCACGCTAAAGAGCTTCGTTTACTGGAAGAATCATCTGTATGGTTCTCCCTCAGACATGAGACAATGAGGCTGTCTTCTGAACAAGACTGGATTCTGGTCTTGGGGTCCTGGCTGGACTTTCACTCACTGAAGTAGTATAAGCGATTAGAGCACAGTTTAGATGGGCAGAAAGGCCACTTTACTTCCTACACTGGTCTCCACTTGTTCTTGAGAACCCATTAGGACCCTTGTCACTCAAGTGGTGGGAAAGCTCTTTATCTTGCTCTCTGAAGTTCTATCTTCTTTGAGTAAACGCGGAATCAGTTCAGTGTTCGGAATGTCCCCCTTGGGCACTCCTGTGCCTCTTAGGCCGTCTCCCGCCGCCCTGTCCTCCTCCGGTACAGTGAGGAGTGTGTACAGCGTGGAGCTGCAGTGGGGGCGCTCGTGTGTGTCTCTCCGCCTCTGACCCATCTAATCCTCTGGCCCTGGTCTTGGGTGTGGTTGGGCTGACATTGGCTGTGGGTGTCCATGCCCCCCTGTGGCTTATTTTCTCTAAGCCACGCCATTCAGAACCCAGGCCTCTTTTCGTCCTCCTGGCCTTCCTACTCCCAGATGGGCTGTGTGGCTGCCCTCGGGTCTGAGGTCCTGAAGATGCCCCTCAGCCAGTGCTCACCCACTCCTCTGAGAGGCTGTATCCTGAGAAGTGGGTACAGATCCTTGCTTTCTTCAGACTCTACTGTGCCTCTGGAACCGTCCCCCATCCCTGGGTCAAAGCCCAGGATGGCATAGTACAGGGACCCTTCCCGGGGATCAGGCGGCTTCCACATGCTGACCATCCCTCCTCCTGCTTCAATTTCATCTCCATTTTCGGCTGTAGGAAGTCTTCCCACATCATATCTTGCCTCCCCTCTGCTCTGTGACTACTGGGTGAGCAGCCATCTAAGCTCTGCCCACCAGACCTGTCCCCTTGAACAACGTTGGCCTCTTCCTAACAAGAGCCTTGCTTTTCAGACTATTGTGAAGCTTGGAACTGAACTCTAAGAAGCTCAGTGAGGACTTCTGGTCTGGTGTCTATTTACTTCTCCCCTCCCCGTCACCCCACTTCCCAGCCTCGACTTAGTGGGGGAAGGAAAAGTACATCAGATAATGTGTCAGATTATAGAGCTACACAACCAACAGCAGGAGGACACCTGCTTTGTTAAAGTTGCTGAATAGCAGGCTGGGTTTTGTTCCTCAGACCACCCTCTTCTTGGACCTTCCAACTCCTTAACTTAGATGGGCCCAACATTTTTAAGTGAACTGTGACAATAAACATCAATAAACTTCAAGTTTTTGTATTCCAGTACTTAAATATTACATTCCTGGAATTTTCCAGCTAACTTAAAGAAACTAAGACAATAATCTATAATATGCTGAACTGTAGGCTGATAAAATGAAATTATCCTTTAACCCTCTAGGTGAACACAGTAATCCATGAATTTGTCTTCTAGGTTTAGAACATTCTGGTTCTGTAAAAAGTTAAAAGTCTTAAAAATAAAACTGAAGCTAAATTTGAACTCATGAAAGTTGATGACATGTATCATGGAAAGACTTGCTCAAGATCAGAAAAAATTGATACTTATTTTGTGCCAGGCACTATTCCTGGCAATTTATACCTAATAATCTGTTTAATTTTCATAACCACTCTGTGAGGTACAAACAGCTATGTCCATTTTATATGTCATGAAACTAAGAAATGAAGTTAAGTCACCTTATATCCAGTGAGTGGACAAAGGGTTGGGGTTGTGAGATGTGGGAAATAGTCTTAAACCTTTTAATGGCCTTTCATTCTAACAAAGATCACCCTTTAATTGTAAATAAGTGGGCTAGGAAGTAAATAAATGCTTTTTTAAAGCTAAATTAGTCTTTGATTACAGTATTTCATACTAATATACACTTGGGTTTCAGTTTCTGAACTGTCGGACCACAATTTGAGTGTCTTTTTTAACTCATGGATGTAAGTTGAGACTTCAGAAATTGAGAAGAGCAAGGTTATCTTACTATCTTAAGCCACAGATAGAAGTATACTATTGATACTCTGCTTGCAAAATTTTCCCGATGAATTAATAAATTATCATAAGGTGTATAACATTGTATATATTTTTAATTATTCTATCATTGACATGTTAGAGGTTACCATGAAGTTTTTATAACAAGTTTTAATGGTCCATGAAATGATCCATGGGATAATTTTCTAATTGTTGGACATTTGTTTCTGGTTTTTGTTCTCAACCTGATGTGGTTAGTTCTTTTTGTATTTTGTTTTGTTTTTAGGATAGATTCCCCATAGAACTGAGTCACAGGTAGGTATAATCTTGCCAATTAATAATATCACCAGCTTATAAAAGTGCTGAGTCCATAATATCCTTGCCAACAATGAGATTGATTAAAATGATTGCATTTTTTGCGCATTAAAATTCTATCTTTAAATTTAAACATCTTTGATAACTAATTTTTACCTTCTTATTTGTCTCTGAACTGTTTCTATCTTTTGACCATTTACAATGAGCTCTCTTCTGTTTCAGGTTCCCTCAAGTATGAGAAGTGAAAAGGCTGGCCCAGGGCTACCTTCTACAGACGAATAAATGCAGTCTTAAAAGTTTTAGAGTCTCTTTTTCTTAAAAAACTGTCATAATTCAAAGAGCAACAATTACCCTTTAAATGTCCTTGACTGTCACAGAGCTACTTGACTATCCTTTCTCAGTTCCCTTCCCCCAGCTAAGGCCGTATGGTCCCTCTGTGCAGGTTAGACACACAAGCGCTGGAGCACAGAGGCAGACTTCGTAGCGACTGCTCACAGAGACCTAGCGCGCAGTGAATGGGTCTCTTCTCCACACTTCCCTTATGATAGCTTGTTCTCATGATGATTCTGCAGGATGGGCATGATGATCCTGCTTTACGGATGGGGAAACTGAGGCACAAAAAGTGGACAGTCCATGAAGGCTGCCATAACACAGACGACAGGCTGGGTGGCTTAGTGGGAATTTATTTCTCACACTTCTGGGAGCTGGGAAGACCAAGATCAAAGCCTAAAGGGTTTAGTTTGCTTTCCCTGTCTTGCTGACAGTTGCTTTCTCTCTGTGTCCTCACAAGGTGGAGAGAACACTCAGGATCTGGTCTCTTTTCCTCTCATGAGAACACCAATCCTATCAGGTTAAGGCCCCACCCTTTACTTACAAAATTTATTTTTAATTGGAAGATAGTTGCTTTGCAATGAAGGCCCCACCCTTACAACCTCATTTAACCGTAATGATCTCCTAAAAGCCCTGTCTCTGAGTACAGTCACAGTGAAGAGGATGAATTTTGGTCATCCTTCCATGACATGCTTTCTGGAGTGAAGAACACTCCCAGAAGAAAGAAGTGTTAGGAGTGTTGTCTTAGAGGAGTAAACATCAGGTGTAGCTAGATGGCAATCATTTTCAGAGTGCAGTTAAGCAAGTCTCCTCTGCTAAGTATCCAAGGTCATTATTTGCAAGTTCTACCTTTGACAAACACTAGAATAAAAGGCTATGGTTTTTCCAGTGGTCATGTATGGATGTGAGAGTTGGACTGTGAAGAAAGCTGAGCACTGAAAAATTGATGCTTTTGAACTGTGGTGTTGGAGAAGACTCTTGAGAGTCCCTTGGACTGCAAGGACATCCAACCAGTCCATCCTAAAGGAGATCAGTCCTGGGTGTTCATTGGAAGGACTGATGCTGAAGCTGAAGCTCCAATATTTTGGCCACCTGATGTGAAGAGCCAACTCACTGGAGAAGACCCTGATGCTGGGAAAGATTGAAGGTATGAGGAGAAGGGGACGACAGAGGATGAGATGGTTGGATGGCATCACCGACTCAATGGACATGAGTTTGAGCAAGCTCCAGGAGATTGTGAAGGACAGGAAAGCCTGGCGTGCTGTAGTCCATAGAGTCACAAAGAGCTGGGCGTGACTTAGCAACTGAACAACACAGCATTCTTTATACCAGAGAAGACCACCTGAGGCCAGGTTGAAGGAACTAGAGAAACTCATCAAGATTACCTGAGACCAGATTAGAGAAGAGCAGGCCCTGCACACAACTTAATCTGTCAGCAACCCTACCTTTGAACTATTGCTATAAAACTCCTCACTAAATCCTCCTGGGTTGGGACACATAATTTTGGAGGAGCAGAGGCTGACTGTGTCACCCTTTGCCTTGTGAAGCAATAAAGCTATTATTTTCTGCTTCACGCAAAACTCTGTCTCCAAGATTTGATTTGACAATGGCGCATAGATGCAGAGGTTTGAGCATCAGTAATAAGACTATAACTACTTTCACTTGTCCCATTTGGTCTCCATGACAACCCTGGGTGGTTGAAGACTTCATTTTCTGGGGCTGCTGTGACAAAGTACTGCAGACTGGGGGGCTTGAACCACAGAAATTCATCTGAGATCAAGAGATGGAGGTGTCAGCAGAGTTGTTTTCTGGATGCCTCTCTTCTTGACTGTAGATGACTGTCTTCTCCCTGTGTTAGTCTGTATGCACATTTCCTCTTCTTAAAAAGGCAGCATCCTATTTGATTAGGACTCACTCCTGTGTCTCAGCTGGTAAAGAATCTACCTGCAATGCAGGAGACCTGGGTTCAATCCCTGGGTTGGGAAGATTCCCTGGAGAAGGGAAAGGCTACCCACTCCAACATTCTAACCTGGAAAACTCCATGGACTGTATAGTCCATGGGGCTGCAAAGAGTCAGATATGACTGAGTGACTCTCACTTGCATACAACCTAGTTTTATATCTTAGTTATTTCATTAATTTATCTCATTGTCTCTTTGAAGACCCTAACACCAAAAACAGTCACATTCTGAGGTACTAAGGCTTAGCATTTTAACACAGGAATTTGGGGGCACGAGTCAGCCCATACAAGAGGGCAAGTGCTGTTACCCTCAGTTTATAGCTTGGCGCTTGGGTCAGAGTCTTACCTGAGGTCACACAGTCCATGGGACCAGGATTGGCGTCCCAGGCCCTGCACCCCCAGTTTCATTCTTTTTACACAGCAGGCTTCAGCCACAGGGTTGGCTGAACTTACTCTTGTAGGGAGAGTGTTGTCTTCAAGAGATCTAGACTTAGAATTTACCATTGATCTTGCTTTGAAAGCACCGTCTTCCCATCTCTCTTCTATCTTAAATTCAATTTCTCTAAAAGTAGGCCATAATTTATAGTTTATTTGGGAGGCAACTCCAGGAAACACCAGTCAAGGAGTGGGAAAATTATATAGAGAAGAAAAGCCAGACTATAAAAGCTGCATGCTGAGCGGTGATGCTGTGGGCATGACTGAGTGAGGGTCTCAGTCACGCTGGGAGACTGCACAGCATGCCTCAGCGGGGTCCTCCCCACACTTCTGGAGCAGGGAGTCGGCCTCTTCATCCACTAAATCCTGATGGTCGCTGGTTGAGAGCTGATGCTCTGGGGTGTCAATTCCTCCAGCACCCCCAGCATGCTCTGCAGAAGGCCATTGATAGAATGCCTAAAGTGCTAAAGAGAGTGCTAAAGTCCTGGATTAGTTATCTATCGCTGAGCAACCAAGTACCCTAAACTTTGCAACTTAAAATAACACATTTATTGTAACAGTTTCTGTGGGTCAGAAGTTGTGCTTGGGCATGGCTTAGCTGGGCCCTCTGATTCAAGGTTTCTCTCAGGCAGAAATAAAGGTGTCAATCTGGGCTGGGGTCTCAACTGAAAGCTTGGCTGGGGAAGGGCCTGTTTTCAAGGTGATGTGACTATCAACAGAATTCATCTCCTCTAGGATGTTTGGGCTCATGGCCTCAGTTTCTAGCTTTTCTTTTCTTTTTTTTGCCAGATATCACCCTCGGTTCCTTACCATGTAGGTCTGTTAGACACGGCAGGTGTCTGTACACTGCCATCCACTCTCTTTACAAGTTACTGCTGGCTAGAAACATTTTCATCAAGAGACTTGAAGATTAGAAATAATTTTATTGCATATCAGTTGAAAGTCTAATTTTATCTGGCTACTGGAGGCTATCCAAATGTAATTTTCTGGGTTTGACATGGAGTCTCCTATACTTTTCTGTTCCTTATTAAGAGCCAGGCATCTTGAGCTTTCTGCAAGTGAGAACTTGGAATTTTGATGATACTTGGTGGAGCCAAGTAGTTCTGATTCCCTTTGTTGGATTTCAAAGTGAATTTGGAATTGAGTAAGAACTTCTGGAACTTCAACTAACATTTCCATATAGGCTATTAATATGGAAATTAATACAATGAAGTCTTGTTTGAAGTCTGACATTTGAACTAGCACATCATATTCAGATGCCATCTGGGAGAAACTGGAGGGTTTTTTTTTTTTTTCTTTTTTAAGATTCTCATGGCTAGAAGAGCAGAATCAAAGCAGAATCTTTTTTTTTTTTTTGGTGGGTGGAAGGAGAGTGAATCAGCTTTGTGGACTTTATCAGTATCTTATACTAGTTCTGCTTTTTAAAGTCAATTTTTTTGCCCCCTCTGAGAGTGCATGTGCAAGATAGAAGTTAGGGCTCAGCTCTAGAGCCATGTTGCTGAGTTTGCATCCTGTCTTGGCCATCCACTAGCTATGAAACCTTGAGAGAGTTACCTAAGCTCTCTGAGCTTCAATTTCTTCATCTACTAAAGAGGGTAACACTATTTCTACCCTTGCAGGATTCCTGTGGGGATTAAATGAGTCAAAAATGCATGTAAAGCCTCTCAGAACAATGGCAGGAGCCAAAAAGAGTTTGCTATTATTAGTTTGAGAAAGCTTACTAACACACCAGGAAGAGAAATTTTTGAGTGATGGCGATGATCAAGGGGATTTATGAAACCTGCTATTTCTGGACTAAACAAAAATTCTCTATTCCCTTTTTGGGCTCTATTTCAGAAAAGGGCCTACCGTACCTGTGATTCCAGGGCTCCAGAGAAGGCATTTTCAACTTCCCAGATATTATTGCTCAGCACCAATAGTGCACAGTTGCCTAAAGTGTCTCAATAAACATATTGTTTCCTGGATCTGGCCAGAAAGACCTCAGGTCCTGGTGGCTGAGCCGCTTGTAATTCTAGCAGGTTTTGATGGGAGAATGGAATAGGAAGAGAGTTTGTGACTCAGTGATTCTGAAGATGAAGTGGGAATAGATGAGAAGCTCTGAATGGGGAAGAAGTAGAGACCAGGGGCTGGAGGGGCTGGATGAGCTGAGCAGAAAGACAAAATTTACTCTGTTGTCTGAAATGCAATGCCTGCCAGGTGTCCTTGGGTTGTTATGTGGGCATTTTCTCCTTTTCCATCTATGTCAGTAGCAGCTTATGTAGTGACTTTTCTTATACGTTAGTCTTCAAAGAATCACTAGGAAGAGACTCCATGCTCCCCGTGGGCTTCCCTGGCAGCTCAGCTGGTAAAGAATCTGCCTGCAGGAATCTGCCCAGGAAACCTGGGTTCGATCCCTGGGTTAGGAAGATCTCCTGAAGAAGGGAAATGCTATCCAGTCCAGTATTCTGGCCTGGAGAATTCCATGGACTGTATAGCCCATGGGGTCGCAAAGAGTCGGATATGACTGAGCAACTTTCACTTTTACTTTCCCAGTGCAGGGGGCATGAGTTCCATCTCTG